AATATATATACTACACCTCTTATAAACTAAATTTAGTTTTAATTAATAGCTAAGATTGCAAGGTGTATATTAGCCTTAGTAGAGGCTAGTTAGGCCTAAATTAGGGGCGCCATAGTAGGTAGAAGTTTATATGCTGCAAAAAGTTGGTGGGGTGGGCCGCTCGCTTGTATGGGCCGCTCGCTTATAAAACATGTTATTACTAAATAATCCGTGAGACGCCTTATCACCTTACTACCTTAACTTAGACTAGACTAAGCGAGAGCACCTTATAACACTATTTATTATAATATTAAAGATTTAGCGTTACGCCTAATAAAGTAATTAACTTATTATATAAAAATATTTTTTTTTTAGTAATAGTAAAGGTAAAGCTCTATAGGATTCGCTATATAAAAGGAAGGCTACGTTTAGTAAGGCATTTAATATATTATAAAAACTCCTTTTTTATTATTAGCTAAGATTTTAGTAACTTTAGTAAAGATTTAGTAAGGTATATTTAGCGCATCTATACTAGCGCGTTAATATAAATTATAAAATACTAAACTCTTTCGCGATTTTCCTTTATAAGGTTTCTCTAAGTCTTTGTAATTTAATTATAGTAATTACCGCCTTGATTAGGTCTATATTGGTGGAGATGCTGCGTGTCAAAGTTGGGGCGTCTTATTGTTGGGTGGCGCGCTGACTGTCGCGGCGCACTGACTGTCTCGGCACGGTAGCGCAGTGCCGCTTGCACCTGCCGACTTTCCAAGGACTAAGTGAGCGGGATTTATCAAGACGTTGCAAGCGTCTCATAGCTCCTGAAATACGCCAGTCCGTTAACAGACGATGATGTCTCCTGAGCACAGGCATGTGCCTGTACTCGTCCTCCTCCTCGCCAGAGCTCTCTACCTCTGGTGTCAGGTATCTCTGCACGTCCACCACCTCCTCCACGGCCTTATTTTCACCCCTGCTAGCCTCTGCAGCCCTTAGAGGCTCGATTGCCTGCGCTAGGCGGAAGGGCGTAAGGCCTATTTTACGCTAGCTACTTTTAATTATATTTTCTTTAAACGCGCGCCCTCTAATTTATAAAAAAATTAATAAAAAATTAAAGTAATATATATTAATAAAGCTTATATATAAGGCCTAGTTAAGTATCTAGCTATAATACTACTTTAGAAGCTAAAAATAGCCTATGTCTAAAAGCTATAAAAGGTAAGTTATATATAAAAGGGAAAGCGTAAAATTATATTTAAAGACTTTTATAAATTTTTATAAATTTTGCTATTAAGTATAACTTATACTTATTTATAAAGAGTAGCCTTTAGGTCTATAGTAAAGTATTAATAGCTATTATCTTATTAAAGTGCTTGGTTTAGTTAATAGTAGTCTTATTATTAGTATAGCTACTATTAGTAATATTTATAAAATAATTATTAGGTAAACTAATTATTTATTACTATAAATTTATTTTTATCTTTATTATAAGTATAGGGAGGATTAATATACTAACTATAAAAATATGCTTAGTAAGTAATATAAGCTTTTAATTTATTATAGTAGGTATTAAGACCTTTTACTTATATTTTATATATACGTAACTATCCTTTATAATACTAATTTAGATCTTAGTCTTATCTATATTATAAGTGTTTATATTTATAATTTTTAGGCGTTAATACGTTTTTTAAAACTTTTAAAACTATTTAAAAAGGGCATTTAGTAACTATACTAGCTTATAAGCTAAGTTAATTAGCTTTACTTTTATTTTATAATATTTTATATAGACTTTAAGTTAGTAAGATACCTAGTTAATACTAATATATAGTAAGTTATTAGTACCTTTATATATTTTATAAGTAATACGTCTACCTACTACTACATGATCTCTCTTATAATACTAAATTTAACGTTATTAATCGCGTTATAAAAGTGTTTAAGGGCGAGGTCTTGCTTTATAAAGAGTCTCTTATTTATAAGAGGGCGCGTTAACTTATTATTATAGCCTTATAGGGCGCGATAGACGCGCTAGCGCAGGTGGTTAATGCTACAATTCTTAAGGTATGCGGCAACGTTAGGTCGCGTTAACATGCGCAGCTCCGCAACGGCGTCGCTAACACTCTGACACTCGCCAGTGTACTGGGATACTTTGTTCTTGACTTTAGGCATTTTATTGCACGTAAATTGAGCGTGATTTGACGTTGTGGGGAGGTGCTGCAGGTAGGTGGTGTCATTGAGCTAGTATTATTGTTGAGCGTGTGGGGCCGTGCATAGCACGGTCTTTCTCGGAGAGAAATCGAACTCGACTGTTTGGGCCGAGTAAGCATGGCGAGGCTGAAGCTGTCGCAACTGCCAAGCGTAAAACCCTACCGAAACTCGAGCACGAGTCGCCACAAATCGCACGTGACACCTCGTTGGTCAGCCACATTGATCGACCCCCTGCAGCCAACCGCCGAAGCGTCCACCAATGACTCGCTCAGCTTTCTTTTGTGTCCTCGTGAAGCTCCACGACACCATCAAAATCCTACTTTGCGCGCAGAAAGGTAGCACGATCCCGTTTCAACAATTTCCCACGTTCCTTGGAAGGCAGACGCTACTTTGCCCTTCACGTCCATTAATACCGCTCTCTATAACGACCAATTGAGCTAGCATCGTTGTCAGCTGAACGGCATTTCGCAACCTTCGAACCGACACCATGAGCGAAAAGAAACTCTCTATCATGTCCAATGGCAGCGAGGATTTTTCCGTGCAGCGGCAAAGTATGCTGCTCCGCGAACTGGAAATGTTGTTGGATCTGAATCCCAGAGAATTGAGCTCCAACCTACTTGCACTACCGAAGGAACTACGAGACCGAATATTCGACTTTGCACTGCCCGATACCTGCAGTCCCCAGCGACCTGAACTCCATACGTGCCTGTGGGGAGCAGACATGGTGCACGAACCCTGGCGACACGACATCTTCGGCTACGCTCATGGCGTTTCCAAAACCCAGAGATTACATCCTGATTTACAACTCATCAATCGCCAGTTACGGAACGAAATTTTGCAAAGGTACTTTCGACGTAGCAAACTTACCCTCCATGCTGAGCTGCGCAACACGCGAGGGAGCGACGGGCGCTTCGAATATTCGCCACACATCCTGAAGCTACTGATGCTCAAGTTCGTCACGCACGTTCGTTTCTACGTGGAGTGGAACTACACCGTGATTTCCAAAAACGATAGCATCGACGACCAAATCCGCATTGCCAAAGACCTCATGAAGACCATGGACACATTACTAACCTCCCTGGAAGCCGTAGAGAACATCGAACTCAGCGTGCTCTTCTTCTGGAAGCTGCGCTCGGGAAAACACTACATGCTCTCGATGCAGGACCTCTTCGACTTGGAAGACGTCTTCAAGCGCCACGCTGAGTCGCGCTGGCTACGCATCTTGCGCACTAACAAGTCGACTGTCATGTCGCCCAACCTGTCTGCTGGCGTGGGCTACAAGCTCTCGTGCGAAGACACGGGCACCGAGCAGAGTGGCGGCATGGAGATTTTTGTCTCGCAGGATTTGGAAGAGGCAATGCAGAGTAAGAGGAAGAGCATGATTGATTTCTACGGCAATTATGGGATTTCGGATCCGCTGCCGCATCCGGCCTATGAGCAGGGGAAGATGATATGAAATGAAGATAACAGAAAATGAGGCAAGGGCCTTGGCCAGCAGTTTTATTCTCACGTCACACTGCCTCGCAAGAAATATCGGTACCAGAGGATGTTGCCTACCGACATGTCTTTATACGGCTTGATCAGACGGCGGAGCGGCTCCTCTCCCCAGTACTGGCGTCGATAATCTGTTTGACGGGCCCTGCGAGACTTCACTCAGCTACGCGGTAGAGCATGTTTCGATGATCGGCTTAGCTCAGTTGAGTTACTATGATGCGTGCACGATGGCGTGCAGCGACGGGGGCGTATGGGCGATGCCGGATAGCGAAAACGCGATGTCCAATATGGATGGCGCCTTTCGGGGACTCGAGAATAGCATGGAGCTGGGTGAGGTCTGGGACGAGGGTGAAAGTTAGTGCGTCGGACGCGAGGTGTGGGCAAACAGAATGTAGTTGGAGGACGGTTGAGGTGGTTACTTACATCGAGACGGCAGCCTGACATCGTAGGCTGCTTAGAAGGGTCGGATGGTTGTTGCGTAGCCTACCAGACCGTCGGAGTCAGCTTCGAGGCTGTTGGAGGCATGGGGGAAGGGAAACCACGAGACCAGAGCCTGCTAATAAATGCGTCTCGGGATAAGGGTCGCGTTGGAGCAGCGCAGTCATTCAAGGTAGATCGAGACTAAGAGTAAATCATCTTCAGAAGCAAAATGAGCTACCTGCTATGCCCCTGATCCATGTGCACTGTTGAATCCTTTTGACTGGTTTCTGGTTTCTGCAGTAGAAACGCGGAGCGGAAAATACTGAATGCAAAATCTTCTCACTGCTAGCGCCCCCAGCTGTCCCACTCAACGTGGACGCACACAAGCTTACGATCATTGCACAGCTAGAGTTGGTCGGTCCATCAAAGCTCACCGGCGAAACGAGGGCTCATATTAAGCTTTAAGAAGCATAGCGGATTTGTTGAACAGTGGGTACCTATGGTAAGGCGCACGAGTGCAGTGCTGCAGTAGTCGGGGCGGGAGGGGTTTGATTGTATGGAATAGAGGTGTAGATTGAAAGCATGTGACGTTGTAGTAAGGAAGGAGAAAAGGGAAGTTGGGTATATCATGTCGTGTTGGTGATGGGCGGAGGATGGTGTTGTCCACTTTCTATTCAAATGGGGTAGTTGAGCTGGATTCATACATGAGCAATGGATACCATGCTCCCTATGGAAAGGAAGACGTTGGGCAAACGTGTCAAAAACTATCTCAAAATCAAAGCCATATCCGTTGTGCATTGGTACAGTGACAGGCAGGCTAGGCCGTGCGTATGCATTGTAGAGCCCAAAGAGCCAAAAACAAATGTGTGACGAAGGATGACAAAAAGTTGAATTGAGTGGTTCGACATTGACAAGATTCGAACTTGCGAGGCCGAAGCCATTAGATGACTGAATTAAGTAATTCAAGTCTAACCCATTAACCACTCTGGCACAATGTCTGTTGAGACGATACTAAAATTGAAATTTAGATAAGATATATCCAGCAACATACACGCATCTCTCAGAGAAGAGTGCACAATCTTCGTCATGCGCATCTGGAGAGAGCGGGGCACACGCCTAACGATAGCATCATCGCATAATTCGTTGATTCGTCACCCACCCACACCATGGTGGGGCTACAACGCTGCCTTCCCACTCCCACTCAGCGACCACCTGCCCCCCTCGCCCTCCACAACCTTGCCTTCCCCTTTCAACTTGCTCAATATCTGCAACACGCCCTTTTCCGCCGGCGCCCACAACACTTCTGGATAATCCTTATAAATCACCTTCACGATCTCCGTAGCCGTCCATCCACCCTCGCTCTCCTGCCCTAGCACATCCAACACCTGCTTCTCACGCTGCTTCCGATGCGCAATATACTCTCTCACCTTTGCGGGGCCGTCTTCAATGACAGGCCCGTGACCCGGGTACGCGCGCCCCGTGAACTGTGTCCCCATGCCCTCGAGCGACTTCATGTACACCGCGAGGTCCTCGAACACGGCTGTGCCCTGTCCGAGCACGTTGTCTGCCGTGAACATTGCATTTTCTTCTTCTAGTACGAATGCCATGTGATCCGTCGTGTGTCCGGGGCAAAAGTACGGGCGCAGCGTCGCACCCTCGGTGGTGAATGTCTGCCCATCGACGATGTCCTGCCATCCGTCTTTCGGGTCGCGCTTATAGACTGCCGTGGATGGGGAGTGCGCGAGGAGGTCGGACACGCCGCCGGTGTGGTCGTGGTGCCAGTGCGATATGAGCGTCTTGTCGATGGTGATGTTCTCGTCCGCGAGGACGGATTTGAGCGAGGAGAACCATTCGGGCTTGCCCTCGCCCGTGTCTATGAGGAGCCGTTTCGCTCCCGTGCCGACGATGTACGTGTTCGTGCCTATGTGAGCGTTTCAGACAAGGAAGATGCGCGCGCGTGGGCACGTAGCGGTACCTTGCAGCGTGAACTGGGAGCTTGTCAGCGCAGCAGCGTTTGGCGGGTGAAAATACGCACTTTACTTGGATTCCCGCCCAGCACGCGGATCACGCGGCTGCTCAGCCTCTCAACTTTTGGGAGGTCTGCTAGAGGCTCTACCATGGTGGAATACGCGTTGTACAGTGTGTGCGACAAGGAGTGAGCACGCAATCGCCATGGCAGACGCATGTTTGTATTGCTCACTGCGGGAGGCCGCCAGGCCGAGGTACCGGAGTTTAGAGCGACCCTTATCGATAAGACCGAGGGGCATCTTTCGCGATGAAATTGTTACCGTCGGGAGCACCCCACTTGACGCAACACCAAGGTGCTGTAATGACCATGGAGAACGATGATGGACCGATGTAAGTCCCACATACTCATACGAGGTACGCGACTAAGCAAAGAAGTCAGCTCTCAGCCGGTGCACTAGAAGCGCTGAAGGAATTCTACGGCGAACGCGATGCGAGGGAGAAGCAATTCGAAGACCTGAAGACGCAGGCTGAAGATGAATTCAAGGGAAAGTTGAGCATGGAAGCGTTTACGGAAGACTGGAACGCCAGCCAATTCTGGGTACACAAATATCCACTCGCTCTCCAAACCCGTGGCACACTCTTACGACCATAAAGTACTGCGACGACACGGCGACGACACTTGCACGGCACTTGCTCGATGGGGCGACGGACGATACTAGGATAGCGGTTGTGTCGGCGCCTAGTACCTTTATACAGCTCAAGAACTTGTTGGTGCGTTGGCCAGGTTTTCAAGGCGATCTCTGGGGAGCTGACGAGGATGCAGAATTCTGGAGAGTACACGGCGAGACCGAAGATGACGCTGCTCGAATACGACACCCGTTTCAACGTCTTCAAAGAGTTCGAGCCTTACGATTTCGAGCAGCCACTCAAGCTACCGGTGGACCTGAAGGGATCGTTCGACCGTATAATATGTGATCCGCCTTTCTTGAGCCAGGACTGTCAGACGAAAGGTACTTCCACTCTCTTCATACCTTCAGGTGCAATTTAGTTGACGGGATATAGCTGCGTTGACGGTACGGTGGCTAGCAAAGTCATGGGACGAAGCCTCGTTGAAACTAATCGTCTGCACGGGAGAACGTATGGAAACCCTAATCACGAAACTATACTCCAAAGTCGGGACGCGGACAACGACATTCGAAGTCAGGCACGCGAAAGGGCTGAGCAATGAGTTTAGGTGCTATGCCAACTTCGAGTGCAAGGATTGGAAATGGGTGAAGCAAGCCTGACAATTCTACGCATTTATTTCCCTATCTAGCAAAAGAATTAAAAAAAAAAAAAAGTCTTACACCAAGTCAACCCCTGCTCTCTGGCTATCGTGGCCTCACCTTTATTTTTTGATTTCCTTGGTGAAAATGCGAAGTATTTCCTGTCTATTGCTGGTACCTCGAGCTAACTGCTTATACAATTCTCATTCCCCGTGTCCATGAGCGCCAGTGCTGGCACTCCCAGCGACCAGCGTTACAATGTCCTTTTTTTTCCACCACAGCCTCCTCGGAACCTCAAAGGTCGAGAGCTGTCCACACGATATCATTCACGCGTAAATCGTCACTCAAAACGAGAAAGAGCTCACAGCAGCGCCTATGGTGGTAGGATATACATAGTCAAGACCGCCTGATGAAAATATTTCCGCTGCCAATTTGTGTCACAGGGAAGGATTAGCGCCTCGGCTCGGTTTCTCAACCTGCGGTGTATTAGCTTAAAGCAAAGCTAAAACAGCCATACCCCGCTCACCAATGGGTAGCGGCATCTCCTTGAAGAAGTGCGTCGCTGGCCGGAGGATGACTGTTGCGTAAAGCTTGTTTGCGCTTCGTAGATAGTAGTGTGACGGAAGAGTAATGAGATATGTTTGCACGCGTTGCTATTGCAGCGATGCAATTCAGTAGGTGACACGGCTCCCGTCCTGTTGAAAAGGCGCAATCTCTGAGAAGGGAATGAAAGCGAACTATATTGCAAGCGTATCCATCGTTCTCGATTTGCCTACTAGTGCTCTTCTGTCATAGGTGGTCCTGCACATCTATTCCGATTTCAACTGTGCGAAGCATTTGTGACATTTTCGGTAGTGTATCCGTCCGTTGCACAGCGCTTTGAAGTTGTGTAAGTATGGTAAGATGGTTCTTAGAAGAGAAGGGACGAGGTTTCAAGTGTTCCCAAAAGACGCCGCATATCGAGAAAATCGGTGGTGCGAGAGAAATGATATCGCCATCTATCAAAACTCCCACACATCACAACATTCGCACCCGCCGTACCCAATATGCGAGTCCTCGTCTTCGGTGCTCCATTCTACATCATCGAACGACGGATCCGCTGCTCTTCCGCATGACCGCATTGCCTCGCACCAGACGCGATATGACTCCTCCCCATATATCCTCGCAACCTGGCTAGGTGTCACCCGCTCATGTTCAAGAAGACGAAGAACAGCCCGACTGGTTGCATTACTCTTAGCCTCCGGGCCAACAGAATGCTGCACGAAAAACGGAATCGCCTCGAAATTACCTGCTCCCACAGCTACATGGAGTAGATTCCATCCGCGTAAGTCTGTCACCTAGTGAGGCTTGTCATAGCAGCCCCACAGCTGTTGCAAGGTGTCGAAGCTATTATGGCACACGGCACAAAACAGCGCGTTCCAGCCCAGGTTATACGTCTGTGTAGACGTTGAAGCTCCCAGACACACGACCTTTTTTAACATCCTGGCACGTGCCGAACGCAGCAGCTCTATGTAGCGCCGACCATCCACTGGCATCCTGACGGTCGACCTCAGTGTAAGAATTGCAGGCGAGGAGGTCGATGAACTCGGTTTGGTCCAAGGGTTTGCAGTCGACATGATATAATGGCATCAGCGCGGTTATACCGTCGGAGACGATGTAGTCAGCGTCAACGCCGTGACTGAAGCAGAGTCTGGCTATGTTCGGCTGTATCCAGAGGGCGGCGAAGAGGAGAAGGCTGCCGTATCTGGTGTTAGTTCGAGTGGATGTGCGCAGATCCTGGCGAGGACTTACAGCAGGACTGGTGCACAGTTGTCGATCAGGTATTTTGACAATTCTGTCGACCACTTTGGGCCGCATACTGGGGTGATCAGCTAACGATCAATGGGGTCGAAATTTCGACGACATACCCAAAGTAGCGAAAAGCCATGGCGCGATACGTCGGCGGGTGTTGCCTTCCCATCTTCCATTAAATTTCGGACGGCTAACAGATCACCGCTCTAACATGCAGTAACAACCTGCTCGTTAGCGTAGCTTATGAAGCTCAAACGTCCACCGAGAATGTCGAACTCTTGCCATCTGAAAATCGAGCGGCGAAAAGAAACCATGTCCATGAAAGCCGTGTGACCAGAAACGGTAGGCACACTTAGCCTTGCTGCGTAATGGTAATTTTTTTTTTAAATCCTCAGTGCAATATGAGACCCTCAAAGCGCAGTACAATAGGGATTCCCAGAATCTATGCAATCTAAAGGCGCTAATGATGGGTTTGCTACATATCGAGTTGACGCCTTTGGACAGATGCGTCGTTTGTTGTGATATCAGAGGCTCTACCTGTGATGGTTGAGCCACGAAGTTCGAAGCCGCTATTCTTGCGCTTCGTTGCAAGGCAAGCGAAGATCTCAAAGATATCTTTCTAACTCATATCAGCGATAACTCTTCGTATCCAACGTAGTACTAACAGGTTAATTGACTGGAGAACGATGTTCAAGCTGCTCTCAATGCGCTAGAGTTGCTGGAGACATTCCTCGGCCTTGCCTTCCTCCAACAGAGTCCATCTGAGCCTTCGTCTACTTGGCGCCAGAGTGCGGCACATTGTCGTGCAGTCTGCGTGGATTGCCAGAACGTCATGCTTTGCAGTTTGCAATGCTTGATAGAAGATCCATAGCTCCTGTTCAGATAGGAAGGTTTCGAGACCAGCCTTGTCGGTGATGTCGTTCAGTGACTGCAGCCCCAGAAGAACGAGACATGTATGGTTCTGCAGTTGGACG